ATAATCATTTGAAAGAATGGATTCGTCAAAAACGGTTAAATAAATAAATAATTAAAATTTTCCATTCATTCATTCATAACTCACGCGACGGCAGTAATAATAATAATAAAAAAAAAACTTCTTCGAAATAAATATTATTATTATTATTATTATTATTATTATTATAGAGTTTCGTAAATTTTTATGTTAAACATTTGTTTACTATATAGGGATTTATATTCAAGGATTTATTTTTAATCATTTTATTATTATTATTATTATTATTATTATTATTTTATTAATAATGTTTTTATCGTGTGTGCCTCTTTTTTTTTTTTTTTTAAATGTGAAGAATATTATTTTGCTATTAATTTATTAATCGTAATTTTTTTTTAATAGTAGCGAGTAATAAATTTTTTTCTCGACAGGTTTTCCAAAAAGCAATTAAAAATTTAACGGATTAGAAAAACAAGAAAAAAAAAAAATTCGTTTTCTTAGAATAACAACAACAACAACAACCAGAACAACAACTCTTTAATCGAATTATAAAAAATTAATCAATAAATCAATCGAGGTAGTAGTAGTAGTAGTAGTATTAAAAAAATTACGAAATAAATTTTGTTTTTTTATTTATTTATATTTATAAAAAATTATGAAATTAATATGAATTCATTAAATTATTATTATTATTATTATTAATATTTTTCTCGCAGTTTTAACGTGGACGAGATAGGAAATAAAAGGAGGAGGTGGAAGGAATGATGTTGTTGTTGTTGTTGTTGTTGTTGTTGTCATTGTCATCGTCGTCTTCGTCGTTGTTGTTGTTGTTGTTGTTATAATTTTATTTATTTATTTATAATTTTTGTGAATTTATTTAAAAAGTATTTATTTATTTATTTATTTTTTTTTTAATCGACACAATAATTATTAACGTTAAAAAACGTGTAACGAACGTGTAACGTTAATAATATTTATTTATTAATTAATTAATAAATTTAAAATCAAATCACATAATCGAATAAAGTTTAACAAAAAAAAAAAAAAATTTTTAAACAATGGAATATAAACGTAAAAAAAAAAATTTAAATATTTAAACGGTTATAAAATGGCACACGTATGGGCGTGATAATTCCAGAAGTTCCAGAACAATTCTCCATATAACATTTATTGAAAGTGAACGAATAATGTCGAAAGGAGAAAGAAGAAAAAATCGGTGGATACCTTGCGAAGGAGTGATAAAAAAATTATTATTATTATTTTTATTAATAATGACGTTAAAAATAAATAATGGGAAAAGTATGAAATTATGCTGTCCGGAAAATTCATATTTAATTAATAATTCTAATATTTGTTCGGATAATAAAACTCGTTACGATTTACATTGCGAAACTGGAGCGTTACTCCTGGATCCAAACGATGGTGATGATGATGATAAATTTACAATTGAATCAAATGGAAGTTTGATCATTTTCAATGGAGAAGAAAGAAATCAAGACGAGTAAGTTATTGTCTTGACATGTTTCGTACGGTTTTATTATTATTATTATTATTATTATTATTATTATTATTATGTCCACTATTAAACACGACAAGGCTCTTATTTGTCGGGGTTTTTAAATATTTATCCCAGGTTTCTACCCGATTCCTTAGGGACAAATACTCGAATTTCGGTGGTGCTACTTATAATATTTTCCGAAGGATGTGGGCCGTCCCACATAGTGCGATTTCCTGGATGGTTTCTTCTTTTAGGTTCCTCATAATCTTCTTTAAGTTTCCTTTCATTGAATGTGGCATGGCTCCCAATGCTCCCACGATGACCGGAATTATTATTATTATTATTATTATTATTATTATTATTATTATTATTATTATTATTATTATTATTATTATTATTATTATTATTATTATTATTATTATTATTATTGTACATTATGTTTTGTTTTTAGGTTTTGCGTTGGAAAAATATTAAAAAACGATTCGTCGACGTCGTCGAATTTTGTAGCATTGGTTTGTTTTCGAGAAAATGATTATAATTCGTCGTCGTCGGAAGATTCAAATTTCATATCGATACTATTGAGACTTTTCATGATAATATCAATATTATTCTTATTGATAACACTTTACATATACGCCATTTTACCCAATTTGAGAGATCTTCAAGGAAAATGCGTTATTGCATTTATATGTTGTCTCGTTTCTTCCTATGTGACTTTGTTTGTCATACAAACTTTTCCAAATTCGACGCAAACGACGTGCGTCACGCAAGGTAAGCAACAAATTTCACGGCTGGATATTAAATTAATATAAAAAGAAAATTTTCTCCAAAAAAAAAAAAAAAAAAAAAAAAAAAATGGGCGTAAATAAATAAATAATAATTTTTTTTTGTTCCAGCTGCCATTTTATATTTTTTCCTATCGTCTAGTTTTTTTTGGAATAATGTGATAACTTTTAACGTATGGAATGCCATCAGGTGAAGGTTTAAGTACCTTTTTTTTTCTCAAAAAAATTTAAAGTTTTTAAAATGAAAAAAAAAAAAAAATTCGATACATTGATTATCATTATTATTATATTTCAGAAGAAAATCTTCGCCGAAATTTCATAATAATAAATTTTTGGGTATTTTTTACGTGTTATGGGGTTTTGGAATTCCTCTCCTTATGGTTGCCATTTCCTTCATCATGGAATACATTCCAGGACGAGATCACGTGAAGCCACATTTCGGTGAAACTAAATGCTGGTTCAAAGGTTCGTTCGTTTCCGGGGGTAAAAAAAATACGAAAACGGGGGGGGGTGATTTTATTATTTTGATTTTTTTTTTAAGGTAAATTGGAAAGCTGGAGTTATTTTCACGGTCCCGTATCGGTTTTACTCGTTTTCAACAGTCTCATGTTTTGTCATTCGTCTTGGATGCTGTGGAAAAGATGTAGAGATTCAACAATTTCGACGATTCGTTCTTTAAAATTTAAGTAAGATTATATAGAAAATGTGTCGAACGAATTTATTATTATTGTTATTAAAATGTTTTTTCGGGTTTTAGATGCGTCATGTATTTGAAATTATTTTTATTGATGGGAGTGACGTGGATATTCGAAATGATTTCATATGCGACAAGTGACATGTCGGAATACACAAAATATTTGTGGTAAGACAATTAAAAAATTATCATAAAAGTTCAAAAAACTACGTTTTTAAATAATCGATTTAAATAATTTCGTAATATATTTTTATCGCAGAGTTTAAAGTATCAAAAAAAAAAATTTTTTTTTTTTTTTTTTTTTTCAAATGTTTAAAATTCGACATTTTTTTTTTTTTTTTTTTCAGGTTGTTGACAGACTGCATAAATAGCGCTCAGGGCGTTTTGATATTTTTAATACTTGTCGCATTCCGACAAAAAGTTAGATTGGGTTTATTAAATAAAAAATTATTCGGTATAAGATGGCCGCGATCGTGGGCAAACGAAGAAATACAAGAATCTTCGACTTCGATATTTATCAACGACGATATGGAATTGGAAAAACAAAAAACAAAAATTATGACAAATTTTCAAAAAGGAAGCGATACGGATTAACAACATGGAAATCCACAGAAACGTTTTTCGATAACAATAACAAGCCTGCCAACTTTTAACAGGTAAATTTTTTTTGTATTTTTACATTCGGTTAAATTTTAAGGTACGATTTTGTGCACTATGAAAAAAAAAAAAAATGTAATAATCGTCGAATATTTTAATTCCTTCGCTTTCTCACAACGTCTCAGGTATAAAAAAAAAAATAATTAACTTTAAAAAAAAAGAAAAATTTTTATTTATTAAAAAGAAATAATAATAAAAAAAAAACTATACATAACTTAACTAAATAAATAACTATACATAAAAATAAATAAATAAAAAGTTTGTGACAAAATTTATAAAATATTACAGGAACAATATTAATAATAATAATAATTATTATTAAATAAAGTTTTAAAGCAATTTAAAGTCTTAAATACTTGTAAATATAAAATAAAAGTTAATTTTTGAATAACAAATTAAAAATTTAATTTTTACAATAGATCACATGTATCGTTTGTGTGTGTTTGTTTGTTTGTTTTTTGTAACATTATTTGGCATATAAAAAAAAAAAAAAAAAAATTAATAAATACTATTATAAAAAATAAACAAATTGACTGTGTTCTACTCATAATTATTATTATTATTATTATTATTATTATTATTATTCATACTAAAAAAGTAATTTTTTTAATACAGAAAAGCTCGACAAGAGAGAATAAATGCCGGAAACATAAAATACATAAAAATATATATATGTACGTGTCATTCCTGAGCGACGACTAAATAAGAAACAATACTAGAGTGAATAATACTTAATCGAATTCAGGTATGTCATCATATGAATATCCAGGGTATTCTTTATAGGCATAAAAAGCAATTCTCATGTGATAAATACCGGGTATAAACATGATAACTCCCAATATAATGATAGGCCACATTCTATCGCTGAACTAAAAAAAAAAAAATTGAAATGTTTTAACGATTAAAACTTTCAATTTGATTATTATGTGTAATGACGAGGAGGTTGGTTACCTTTGAATCTAAGTGACCTGTTACAATTAGACTTCCTAAAATCAACATAAATAAACCACCAACGCATAATACGAATGCCAAACTTATAGCTTTCCATGGGATTCTAACAGAGATTGGCTGTTGGATTTCAGTATCGGAATGATTTTGATCGCATTGTTCGAGTTTTTGATACTGAACGCTATTGTAATTATTTCCTCTCCTTCTCGACATTCTTTCAGTCTTACTTTTGGCAGTTATATTTAATATAAATTGAAATTTCTATTCAAATGGTAATATAAATAAGGCAAAACTTATGGTTAGAGAATTTTTAACTTCACTACATATTTCTGAAAAAACAAATTTTTATTATTAATACCACATGTGATGTGCTCAAACAAAATTTTATTATAATTGCTAAATAATTAATAATAAATTATAACAAACCTTAAATGTTAAAAGTCGAAATTTAAAAAGTAAAAAAAAAAAAAATATCAGTTTGATAAAATAAAATTCGATAAAGATAATGATAAAAAAATTATTTAAAGGAAATTTTCCATTAGGTTAAGATTTATTCGTATTTTAATTTAATTATGATAGCGATTAAAATACAAAAAATAGTAATTGTTAAAATGTAAATTTTACTTGTAAGTAAATTTTTGAATATGTAAACCCGGTAAAATAAATTGTGAAATTTATTTAAAAAAAAAAAAAAAATTTTTTACATCTAATTTACGTTGGTACTAACACTTTACAAACATGGCGGCGGTTGATAAAGTTTTATTAGCTAGTAAGTTTCGAGGAACATTGGTTGGAGCATTATTGGGTGATTGTTTAGGAGCACCATACGAAGATGTTGCATCGATATCAAAACGTCAACTTCAAACTTATTTTGACAAAATGGAAAGCACTCAAGTGAAAGGTAAAGTCCAAGAAACATCATCATCCCGGTTTCAGGAAAGTAAATTTGAAACTTGCCGGCAAAACGGAAAAAATTTAATAAGAAAAATTTTTTAGGACCTTTCAAACCGTACACCGACGATTCAGCCATGACTAGATGCATTGCTAAATCGTTAATTGAAAACAAAGTTGTCAACGAAACCGATATCGCAACAAAATTCGTCACAGAGTTTTATAAAGAGCCTAACAGGGGTTATGGAGCAAACGTTATTTCAGTTTTCGATAAACTATTAAGTACAAAAGTGTCTGATCCCTTTGGCCCAGCATTACAACAATTTAACGGTTCAGGTTCGTATGGTAATGGAGCTGCCATGCGAACTTCACCCATCGCATTATTTTATTTCGATAATTTTTCCACGCTCACGAGCATGTGTGCAAACGTATCTAAAATAACTCACGCTCACAAATTGGGAATTAACGGAGCCATATTGCAAAGTTTGGCCATAAGGAAATGCCTTTTTTTAAATCCGAATGAAAAATTAGATGTTAACCGATTTGCGACAGAGTTAATTGATGAAATTAAAAACGTTGAAAAAGAAGAAGATAAATTTAACTTGTCCAAATATAATTATGAAACTCAGTTGACACTCATGAAAAATTTTTTTTCAAAAGAATCACCACCATCAGATGAAGAAGTGGTCACAAAATTGGGAAATTCTGTCAGCAGCATATTTTCAGTACCCACAGCCATTTATTGCTTTTTAAGAGCACAGGAAAGGATACCAAAGATAGATACGGATAATCCATTTAGAAGAGCAATACAATATGCTATTTCTTTGGGTGGCGATACTGATACGATTGCGAGCATGACTGGAGCCATTGCTGGTGCTTTTTTCGGCGATGAAATCATTAATGAAAATTTAAAAAAAGAATGTGAAAAAATGAACGAAGCCATCGATTTGGCTGATCAATTATTTAAATTGAAAAATATTATTTAATTTAATGTTTTATTTCATCATCATTCGAGTAGTGAGTACACCATTTTTAATCTCAAGAGGAATTGTTTTATTATTCGAGTAGTTAGCAATCATGTACATCACAAGAGGAAAGGGTTAAGAAAAGGCAAAATTATTAAATGTTTGTAAAATAATTTATTAAATTAAATTTTTTATGTTTTAAAATACATAAAATTTTTTTTTTTTCGATCTTTGGTATTTTATAAAATTTAATAATTATAACAAAATTTTCTTTTTTTTTTTTTTGTTGTTGTTGTTAATTTTGTAATAAATATAATAATTATAATTACAGAAAAATATGAATAATTTAAAATCAAAAAAAAAAAAAGTAAAAGGCACAAATGGAAAAAAAATTATTAATAATTCAAGGGAAGCCACAGAAGAAGATTGTTGTTTTTTTTTAAAAAAAAAAAACTTTTACATACTATAAACTACATAAAAAAAAAAGGGAAAACGTGTTAAATCTAGACAAAAATTTACATGGTATAAATGTTGTTGGGATACATTTTCTTATATAATTAATTATTACAGGTTTTTTTTTTTTTTTTAACTGTTTGATTACAGATTAAAGGTGAAATTAAATGTTATCCTTGAAATAAATGATTTAAAGATGTCTTTACTTAATTGAACTTTACTTATTTGCAAAACATTTTTAAATCATGTAAAAAAAAAAAATTTTTTTTCTCTTCACATACTATATCTATTTTATAACATTGTACTTATTTATTGAATACTTTTATTATTATTATTATTGAACTATACTAAAAAGGTTTCCTAGGTTTAAAGGTGACCAAATTATATTAATTTGGCATAATTTTTACCATTTCAGGCTTACACGACAATAAGAAAAAAAAAAAGAAGATGAAAGACACCGAGGTGGATGGAAATATTATTAAAAAGGAAGGAAATTCAGGGGTTAAATCGTATTTAAAAGAAGATCTTCCAATTGATCGATACACATTCCAGAATTATCCGAACAATATAAACCTTCCTGACACGGACACATCGTAGAATAAATATGAGAGAGCTCAACATTTTCACCATCTGGATAACTAACGGTGACATTTAACGGAAGGTTACCTGGACGACAATAATCGTTGATTTTACCAAGTTGTACGCAACGCGGAAGACTGTACCTTCCATTACCTGACGGTAAATAAATAAATAAATTTTAAAAAAAATTAATTACTTTTTAAAAGATGATAAAAATTTATAATTTATTTATTTATTTATTTTTTTTGTAGCGTCGTGCCATACCTAGAACGCAACAGTATCCCAAACCGCATTCCAACGTGTCACTACATTCTATGTACGGTGGCCGAGTGTCGACTATGGATGCGGTTAATAAAATGAGGAAAACAGATGCGAAAAGGGCGGATTTGAAAAATTCTTTCTTCATCATTTTTTTCTAAAATTTTATCGTTAAAAAAAAATTATTATTATTATTATCGATATGTTATATCTTCGGAGATTTTCCCAAACGTTAATAAAGAAAAAAAACGGTAATTAATATTTTTGTCACGAGTATTTTATGGTAATAATAATAATAATAATTTAAAAAAACGCAAAAATGACGTAAAAAAATTTTAATTTTTTTTTTCTTTCAGTTTTTTTTTAACATAGATGAAAAAATTAAAAATTGAATTTTTAATGTTTTGAAATGAAACAAAGGAAAAAAAAAGAAGGAAGGAAGGAAAAAATTTTCATAAGAAAAGAAAAGAAAAGAAAAAGGGAAAAAATGGCAACAGCAAAAAGAAATTTTCCTTTTTTTTTAAATTTTAATTTAATAACTTCGTACATGACTCGAACGTAAAAAAGGTAATGTTTATATTTAAATTTTTTTCCCCCCACCTCCTCCTCTTTCTCCTCCTCCTTTTGCCCTTTTTTTTCCCTCCCCCCTTCCCCCCGCCAAAGTTAGTTTAATTAAAAAAAAAGAAAGAGAAAGAGAGAGAGAGAAAAATTACCTCGTGAGTTTTAGTAATTTTTTCTTTCTTTTTTTCTTTCGAAAACTTTTTTTTTTTTTTAAACTAATTTAGTTTCGTTATTATTATTATTATTATTTTGCTCTTTTTCATCGTTGATCCCCTCGCGTCACCTTACCCCCCACCTTCCCCATTACACGTAACTCCCCATTTTTTTAAAATTTTTTCCTTACATTCGACAAAATTTTTTTTTTTTTTTTGTTTCTTTGCTTCCGTATGAAAATTATCGCGATGGTATCTCGTTATCAAAAAACAATTTAAAAAAATTTTTTTTTTTTAAACTTTTCCGCTTTTCCCCTTCCCCCCTCCCTAAAAAAAAACTTGGGAAAATCCCCTCGTTTACGTGGAAAATTTTTAATAAAAAAAAAAACGTTAAAAAAAATTCCTAAACGTAGGAAAAAAAAAAAAAAACTGTTAATTGGTTTTTAATTTTGTTTGTTTGTTTGTTTGTTTGTTCGTTTGTTATTCTTTCGCTCCATAATAATAATAATAATAATAATAATAATAATAATAATAATAATAATAACACGTTTGTTTAAAATTTCCGAATCGGTCGTTAAAATCAAGTTTTAAATTTCCACTCGTCGCCAGCGAGACGGTTTAAAATATTTTAAAAAAAAGTTAAAAGACCGGAAAAATTTCTATAAATAATAATAATAATAATAATAATAATAATAATAATAATAAGTCGGGGATTTTTTTTTGTTCCGTGACAAATCATTAAATAATAATCGTTAGAGTAAAATCTCTAAAATATTCCCGAAATAGAAAAATAGAAAGAAAAAAAAACAATTGTAAAAACTCCTGGAACGATTCCGGAAACGAACAAACAAAAAAGAAAAAATTTATAACGGTTTTATTGCCAACAGAACAAAAAAAAAAAAAAATTTTTTTTTTTTTTTTGGGGTGAAAATTATACGTTTTTCGTCTTTTCATTTGCAGATTTGAAAAATAAAACCGGAAATAAATTGAAGGTAAATAAAACCGGAAGTAAATCTGAAGAAAGGAAAATTGTTTACCCGCGTCAGTCGACTCCGTTTCAAAAGGTAAGAAAATTTAAATTTAATAAAAAAAAATTATTATTATTATTATTAGAAAAAAAAAAAAACATATTTCGAGAATTCGATACGATATCCTTGAAATAATCGACTTTCGAGATGATTCGATAATTTTTAAAATGATATTTAATAAATTCGAACGAGAAAAAAAAAAAAAAAATTTCAAATTTTTCCGATTAATTTAAAAAATTTTAATAATTAATAATTTTTCTAATCGTTTAATCAAGTTTCGATATATCGATAAATATTTTATAAATCTCGAAAAAAAAAAAAAAACGATTTCGATATTTAAATGTAAAATTTATCAAAGTTTTAAGAGATTTAAATTCTTTCGCATCTCGGGTAATAATTATTATTATTATTATTATTATTTCATTTTCCCGCTGCGTTTTTTTTTTTTTTTTTTAATATAATATCGAAGGTGAATGAGAGGTGAAGATGGACGTTTAATTATTCGTGCGAACATTCTGGAATTTTTTTTCGCGTCGGATTTCATTTTAATGCGAT